TCACACAGGGAGGGCCCTGCAGCACAAATCAGCCTGGGCCTTTGTAGGAATTGAAAATTGGTGCCTCCTCTGGGCAGATGAATTACAGAAAGGTGCCCTTCTTCACCCCAATCTTAGACCCCACTCCTGCTTTGTAAGGGGCCTTTCTTGTATCCAAAAAAAAAAAAAGTCTGTTCTAAAAAAGAAAAAGAATCTGGGGCTTGTGTGTGTGTGTGTGTGTGTGTGTGTGTGTGTGTGTGTGTGTGTGTACATGGCAATACAGGGCTCTGTGAACCTTGCTCTCTCTATGATTAGGGCCCTGGTAATCCTGTGAACATCTGTCAGTTACTGCCTGATATGTAGGAGGCTTGCCTCCTGGGCCTCTTCTCTCTCAGACTTAAGAGTTGTTTAGGAGAAAAATAAACACACAATTACTAGATCTTTGGGACATTGGTTTAATTATTTTTTTAATTGTAAATATTTCCCTTGGAGTCTTTTAGAAACACGACTAAAGAAACCATAAGCAGTAGTGTGCTGGAGACACTTGTACAGATTCATAAGAACAAATTGGCCACTTCTCTTCCCAGTTCTGTACTCAGTGATTCCACATTGGGGGCTTGAAATCAGCCATTTGCCACAAAACAGCAAATGCTACAAGTCAGGGCCCCTCCCTGCTCCCACCCCTCCCTACTCCAGGAGCCAGTTGTTAAACATTTTTCTACACACACACACACACACCTTTAGTGACTTTCTGGAACTGAGCTGACATCAAGCTTGAGTTTTAAGTCTGGCCTCTGGGGGGTTGGGGTGGGGGGAGAATGCTGTGTGGCTTTGGGCAAACTAGTCCCGTCTTTGACCTTACTTTCCTCCTTTGTGAAATGGGGAGAATAGTGATGTCTGTCTGTACACCTCAGAAAGTTGTGAGAGCAAGTGAGAGGAGTCAGATCCAGGTACCCTCCAATGATGTGAGCAGGGCCAGCTCTGTCCTGCATGTCCCTGAGTGCTCGGGACTTAGCACAGCCCCTGGACAGAAAGAGCAGGTGCCATACCTGTGTGTTGAACAAGTGAATGAAATGGTGTGTGGTGGTACTGTGCTTTTATATGAGTTTTCTCATTTAAATAGTTATTTTCCATTTAAGGCTATGGATAGGCCTGGTATATTGTAAAGTGTTACACAAAGTTTCATCAGTCTATGGGTTAATCTATCTGGGCCTCAGTTTCCCACTTGTGAAATGCAGGGCAAAACAACTTATTGCAGCTCTCCACCTGATATGTCTGAGTCTCTGAAGCCTGTGGCCCATGTCATCGCTCATGAAGCTCACACAGCAGGCAGTGCTCTCCTGCTGGGCACCCTTCAGGACTGCCTGGACCCCTCATCCCACCCACCTTTTCCAGCTGTTTTCCTTAGAAGCAGAAAGTCCCCTGATCTGCCTGAGAAAGAAGGAAGAGAGAAAAAAGCAGAAGGAGGCCTGGATCTCATTACAAACTGTCCAGCTCCAATTCAGGAGTGGAGGTAGGGTGCCTTGGGGCTGGAGTGGTCATTCTTCCTGGAAGGCCAAGTCCAAAGTCCTCCTGCTGCCCCTCTCCATGGGAGCCAGTAGGTTGGGTGAGGGGAAGGGACTCTGAGCTAAGTACCCTCTAAGGAGCCCTCAGAGGTGGTGTGGAAGATTCCACCAGTTCCATTCACCACTGAACATTGACCTTCCCCCACTTCTCCTGTTACCTCATTCTTCAGGGGGTGCAAAAGCAAGAAACAGTGTCCGATCTGGACCAGGAAGACAAGGGTAGGGAGCGGCGCTCAACAGGAAGAGAAGCAAGCAGCCTGGACCTTGGGAGCCAACATGGGGAAAGGGAGGGGCCCTCAGTGGGCAGTGGGGGATGGCCCTTGAATCTGGGGGTTGCGAAGGTGGGGGACGAGGATGTCCAGACTGCTGGCACAGCCCCGTGGTCAGGCTGCCTCTTAGGGGGTCTTCACTCCATCCACAGTACCCTCAGGAGTTACTGAGGAGTTAAGGAACCCACTTAAGAATTGCTGACTGACAAAAAATATGCTATGAGGGTTGGGGAGAGGAAGGGAAAGAAACAAGCCATCCTTTTGCCTCATGTTCTTTGGCCAGGAGAGATTTTGAGAGGTTGGGAGAGGCTGAAAATGCCCTAGAGTCTCAGCCACAAGAAAACCAAGTTACCAAAATTCTCAGAACAACGCCATAAGTATAGGATAGCTAGTTTCATTTTTTGGATGAGGCCCACGGAGCTTAAGTTCCTTGTCCAAAGTGACACAGGTGGTGAGGACAGCCTAAACCTCCCCTCCCTGCGTGATCTCTCCTGATGTAGGGCCTCTCTTCCTCCATGTTCTTGTCGGTCTCCCCACATGCTTTCCCCTTCCCACTCTGCCCAGAGCAGACCCTGACCCATGGATAATAGACAGATCCTCCTAGTGGCATGTGAGTGGGTAGTGCCAGCATTTCAGGCGCAAACCTCTGATGTGGGGCTGCAGGTTCCTGTTTGGTTTCAGGAGAGCCTGGCTGGCATCAGTGCAAAGCGGTTTCCTTTTCATGGCATGATTGTGTTTTAAGGACGTTTCTGTGGTTTCCAGTGTTTCAGGGGCTGAGGCATCCACCATTATTCTGCAGTGGGGCAGTGGGGCGTGGTGGGAAGACAGCACACTTTGGTTCCAGACCAGCTGGGGGTCAATGCTGGTTTGAGTGGGAGGAAACAATTCCAGTTTGGGGAGTAAATAAATGAAAGAAACGTAGATGAGACAGATATTTTTTTTTAAAGATTTTTTTTTAATTGGGGAATTGTAGGGAGGGGAACAGTGCTGGGGAATTGGGGGAAGGGGAACAGACAAGTTGCTGTCGTTTTGTTCTTCAATCTAGTTGTGGAGGACGTTGCTTCACTGGCCCAAGCTGGCACCATCATTGTGCTCTTCTCTGGCGAGGCAGCAACCCACTGCCACAGGGACTGCAGCCTACGCCGCCGCCGGCGACTCATGGCAGCCCAGGTCCAGGTTGAGCTGTTGTTCAGCATCTTAGCTGTGGAGGGCAGTGTCACTGGCCCTCCTATGTGGGATCCGAACCGGGGCCCTCTGGCATCCCAAGCGAGTTCTTAACCATCGCGCCACTCGACCGGCCCCGAGACAGATATTTTTTGAAGCAGTAGACACTCCCCCATATTCTTTATATAGGAGGTGGAGCAGAGAGATGATAGGTCGGCTGGTAAGGGAATGCGCATGGGCAGGCAAGTTAAGAAAGTTGAAGAAAGTCTATTAAGAGAAAGTCTATTGGGCTGAGCAAAGATGGCTACAGCCTGGGCTGCCCCGAGGGAGGGGGTGAGGAGGGTTTTATAGGGGCCGTGCTGACAGGGTAGCATTGTTTGAACAGAAAATGCTGACTGCCTGTAAGCCAGTAGCTGTTTTGTGGTGTTTTCTGTTACCGCAAGTTTGGCTTTGCAGGTGCAGGCCAACAGACATGTTTTCTTGCAGACATGGCTCTGTCTGTAAGTCAAGGTCTGTGAGACTTAACAAATTCAGAGACTTAACATGAAGTCAAGGTCTCTAACATTCAGAGACCTAACACCCAGCAGTTGCATGGGATGCCCTCTCTTTTATGGATGTCCCTACTGAGTTCTACTGTCACCTTGGGCAAACTTTCCTCCAAACTACCTTCAACAGAATGAGAAAATTATATCCTCACCTACTGTGGGCTTCTAGTGATAAAAACCCAACTCAAACTAGCTTAAGTGGAAAAGGGGGGACATTGGGGATATTGAAGTAGCCCACAGAGCTAAAGGAAGAGCTGACAACTGGTAAGACAGGGACCAGGGCAGGTCCTGGGACTCCAGGGCCTGGGATGCCACCAGTACTTCCTGCTTCTCTCCATGAGATGGCTTCATTCTCTGGCCTTCTGTATGAGACTGGAACTGTGGACATTCATGGACTCCCAGCTTGCATCTTAGCTTCATCACTAGAGGGCAAAGGGTCTCTTGGTTACAGTTGAAAAGTTCCAGGGAAGGTCTCTGATTGGTCCAGCTTCCATCAGATGCTCAGCTCTGGACCAATCACTATGTTGCCACAGAGGCAGGGTCATGGAGGAAGATGGCAGTTCCTGCAGACCACATGTAGGAAGGGGCTGGGGGCAGTTCCCCCAAAGGGAATTAAAGAAGCAATCCAGAAGGAAGAAGGGGTGCTGGGGTGACCAAACACTAAGTGGCCCTTTCCCCTCATGGGAAACTCCGTCACAAAGCTCAGTGTCTGGCTACCTGCCTTTCAGAGACAGAGGAAACCAACCCCAAATCATAGTTCTTGGCTCGGAATGGGGATGTAGTGTGAAATATCAGAGCATCTCAGATTGCCATTTTAGGAAAAGTCTTTTCATCTTCACGTCCAGTTTTTTTCCTCCCAAAGGTGTGTGGCAGGTGTTTCTGTCTTTCCACCTCACAGACAAGAAACTGGGGCCCTAAGGTTATCCAGCAAGTCAGGGGCAGAACTCAGATCAGGACTCAGGTCTCTTGACTCTGAGATCCTGTAAGAAGTTTCTGCAGGGACAGAGGCAGGACATAAGCCTGATCCAGGCCCTGAACCTCACTCTGCTCTCCAGCCAGGAGGGGAGAATTTCATGAGGTGGTGAGTGCAGTGGAAGGAGGGCACCTGGCCTGAGTGGGGAAGAGAAGGGAATGGTCCAGGGGGGCTGCTCTGAGAAAGTGGCCCTTGAGCTGGACAGGGAGAGAAGGGGTGGAAAGGCATCATGGGTCAAGGGAGCAGTAGCTGTGAAGCCACAGAGGCATGCAGGAGCATGGGTCTCCCATGTCCTGACCACAAAGCTCTCCTCTCAAGGTCAACTCCTGCCTTCTTGTCTCCTCGCAGCACCAACATCATTATCCTAGGTTGATGGGTGTATTTTTTGCCCTCAGTTCCACTTGCTACATTCTCTTTCTTGTCCATCTGTCAGGTTCCCAGGCACAAGCCTCAAAACCCTCTGCCCATGAGATGCTCCTAATGCCAGGTTCTGCCTCTGTTTCAGAATCTCGGCGAAGGGCCATCTTTGAATACCACCGTGTAGAGCTGGACCCCAGCACAGTCACCAGCACGTCGGCCGTGGAGTTCACCCCATTGCCAAGTAAGTAGGGGTGGTTCCCACTGACAGGAGGAGGCATTCTGCTGTGCTGGAAAGAGATTTGGAGTCCAACAGAGTGCCTTCCACTGACTCCCTATGTGGATACGGCCACCTAACATCCCTGGACCTCCATTTCTCATTTGTCACATTGGATCAACACCACCCCCCTCCCAGAGTTTTGGTCAGGGTTAGAGCCCCTGTAGGGGGAGTTGAGGGTATAAATGGCAGCTCTGACACTAACTGGTACATCTCAGGCCTGGGGCATGGTTTGTGCTTGACAGATACAGCTGTTGTTAGTAACACAAAATTGAAACCCAGGAAAGTTGTATCTCTGAGGACTTAAACTGAGGCCCCAGGAAAAATAATCCAGGAACTGAATTGATCCATAAGTTTGCATTTTATTTTCCTTAGAGGAGAGAGTCCACAGGCAGAAGGCCATAAAAGGGTTTAGCCAGCAGTTCTCCAAGAACCATGGGGCCTTGGCCCTCTCCCCGCTCAGTACCCCACTCACCTACAGTTGAAAGTACCCCACGGTCAAGGCCCCAGTTGCGGCTGTGGCCCCCGCAGGATCAGCGTTGGGTGTTCTTCAGGATCTGGTCAGAGCAGCTGGGGAGAGTGAGGAAGAGGAGGGCCTCACTCCCATTCTTATGTGTGTTTTTTTTTTTAAGATTTTTATTGGGGAATTAGGGGGATGGGAACAGTGCTGGGGAATTGGAACAGACAAGTTGCTGTTGTTTTTGTTCTTCAGTCTAGTTGTGGAGGACGTTGCTTCACTGGCCCAAGTTGGCACCATCATTGCGCTTTTCCCAGGCGAGGCAGATCAGTCGCCGGCTTCTGGACGGCCGCTCACTGCGGCTGCTGGCCGCTCACTGCGGCTGCTGGCCACTCACGCTGGCTGCTGGCCGCTGGCTACACACGGTAGCCCATGGCAACCCACTGCCACAGGGGCTGCAGCCTATGCCGTCGCCGGCGACTCACGGCAGCCCAGCTCCAGGTTGAGCTGTTGTTCAGCATCTTAGCTGTGGAGGGCAGTGTCACTGGCCCTCATATGTGGGATCTGAACCGGGGCCCTCTGGCGTCCCAAGCCAGCTCTTAACCATCGCGCCACTCGGCCAGCCCCCCCATTCTTATGTTTTTAAAGAGGGTTTGAATTTCCTCTTCTGTCTCACGGTCCCTCCCAGCTTCTGAAGCCATGGCCTGTTCCCTTGCCTCTCTTCCCCCCGCTTTCCTCTTCCCTGAGGGTTCTGGGAGCAGGGAGCGGAGAAAGAAGAGGAAGAGTGTTCTTCTCAAATGCTAGGCCACTGTCTCAGTCGGGGATCAGCCCGTGTTCCCCCTTGGAAAAGAGGAAGGACCCAGACACCATGGGCTCACAGGGCTGGGACACCTGGTAGGTCACAGCCCCACCCCCAACCCAGTCACCCTCCCTCTAGGCAAGAGAGGCCTGGGGCCTGGGAACCAGCGATTCTTCAAGGACTGGTGGGAGCAAACCTCAAGTCCTAGGACTTGAATAAAACTTCATGGAGGAGCAAGGACATCCAAGGTCAGGGCTAACTTCCCAGGGAGGAAGAAGTGGGCCATCCTGGGAATGCGTTTCTGGGACACTGTTTGTACATGTAAGCCACTTCCCACCCCTCCAGTAAATTTTGTGAGCATTTAATAGCGTGCAGGACATCTGAAATGCAGAAGAGAAATAAAGGTCAGTGGGTTTTATGAACACCCCGCAAGGCTCCCAGGGTTTCTTCTCAGCTTAACTGGAGCCATTTAAGGGGCCTCCAGTGTCCCTGGGAATGACCAGGCCATAGGCTCCCTTGTGGGTGCTGCTGGTGGGGGAGGGGGCAGTGCTACAAAGGTTATAACTGGAGCCCCTGGAGGCCGGTTAGCTTTGTCCTCAGAAAACTGCATCCCCCAGTCCAGGCCCTCTCCACCTTTGGGTCAGGGAGGACTTAGCCAAGATTCTTCCAGACGTGTGGGCCATCGCCAAGCCATTGCACGCTGACTGGTCCCTCTTCTAGAACAGGCTCATGGAAAAGGTGGTGTGGGGTGTGGGTGGGCACTGGGGCAGGGGAACCCCACAGAGGCTAATAGCGCAACCTCTTGGCTCAGACAGACCTCGGTTCACATACAGACCTACCACTCTTAGCTCCGTGACTCTCTCCAAGCCTCAGTTCCCTTCTCTGTAAAATGGGGTGACAGAAGCATTTATACATCAATTCTGTAAGCATGTAAACGCCTACTACCTGCCAGGCACTGCCCGCGGCGTTCTGGAACCACAAGGGAACAAAACAGCCAGCGCTCTCGTTCTCAGGCCAGGCCGATTTCTGCTTATTTCCTGCCCACGGCTTTCTATTCACCCTTCCAGGGCCCGCAAAGCCCTGGCAGATGGAAGGACACAGTGCCACCTACAGCCAGCTCTGCCTACAAAGCGACTGCAGGTGACCATGCTGTGCCCACAACAGCTTTTCTCCCAATCACCAAGGGCTGGTTCCCAGCTGCCACCTTGTTGGGGGGCTCATGGAATGCAAATTGGTCCCCTAATTAATGGATTGTGGTGGAGGCCCATGAAAACTCACCCAGTGAAGAAATGAGTGTGATGGTTATTGAATGAGTGGTCGTTTTTCTGTATTATGGTAGTTGTCACCTCTTGCTGCTGTCAACGTGTTCTGTTCAGCTGCTAATCAGATGAGTCCTTCTATTGCAGCTTTTCTGGGGGAGGGCCTGTCTCTCCTTGTAATAAAATGCATGGACTTTGTGGCAGCTGCTTGCCACTCAGAGGTCATTCTGGTTCACTTAATTGGGTGGTATTGCATTGCACGTGAACAGTCCTTAAAATCCAGCCCCCATACCTCCTGCTCCCCGGCCCTCTCTGTTCTTCTGCCTGCCTGGTGCCCGGGGGCTCTGCACACCCTCCAGCAGCTGCCTGCTCCCACTCACTTCTCTGCTCTCTGACTGCCCTGCCCAGGGGGTCCCAGGTGTCCCTCATTCTCACTCCCACCACCTTCTGCCTCTCCACTCTGCCCAGCCTGTTAGTGTTCTGGCTGCTGTTGGGAACACGCCTGGGACATGCTCCTCCCAGGCCTCTGCGCAGGGGCCATCTGCTTGGACTTCTCCCCCAGAGAGCTGCCGGTTCACTTCCTCCCTTCTCTCGGTCTCTGCCCAAGAGTCCTCTCCTCAGAGGCCTTCCACAACCTCTCTGAATAGAACACATCCCCCACGGTCATTCCACCTCCCTGTCTGCTCTCCTTTTTCACAGCCCTTCTCACCACCGGAAACCCTAGTGTAGATTTATTTGTCTGTGTATGTGTTGGCCGTCTCCTCCACGAGACTGCAGGCGCTGTCTTTTCTTGTTCATGGTTGTATCACCAGCACCTGGGACAGTGCCTGATCCATGTCAGGCACTCAATAAATATTTGTTGAAAGGATGACTGGATGGATGAATGAGTGAATGAGACCTGAGAGGGGTATTGAGAGAAATGGATAAGACCACAGTCGATAACAACAGGTAGCATCCCTGGGCTCGCCATGGGACCGGCCCTACTCCAAACCCCCTCTAGGTGCTCTCTCATGTCACCCTCACACTCTGCCGAGCCGATGGCATCATGATCCTTCTTTTATAAATGTTAAGTAACTTCCCAAGTAAGGTTTGAGCCTGGAGGAGCAGAGATGCCAGCACACCCTCTGGGGTAGCCCACTTCCAAGAGAAGAAGAAGGGGGACTGGAATGACATATGCCTGTTTTACCCTCACAAACTCAGACTTCCCTGGGAGGAGGTGAGTGAGGAGGTGAAGAGAGGCCAGGAGTGGGGACTCTGAGACAATCCCTCCACATGGACTGAGTCAGGGGTGGGAAGTGAGTTCTCCTCGCCAGCTCTGGGTGGGGATCAAACCAGAACAGCTTTAAAAAATCGTTGTCAGTGATTACAGACACAAAACTGTATTATAAACATGACACTTGCTAAGAGACTAGATTTTAATTGTCCCCACCACAAGAAGAAATGATAATTATGTGACACGGTAAAAGTGTTAGCTGCAACGGCAAGCATATTGTAATATAAATGTATCAAATAGATACGTTGTACACCTGAAACTTGTACAATGTTATATGTCAATGTATCTCAATTTTAAAAATCTCTTTCAACCCTGTAATTATTGGCAGCCGCCCAGAAGTATAAGTTCCCAGACTAGGTGAGATCCCTTTGTACATGCTTACAGCACCCTGTAATTCTTCATAAACCTCATCAAAATAATAGTTACATGGTTATCTTTGTTCAATTATCTGTTTAGTGTCTGTTTCCTCATGTAACTGTAAGGCCCGAGAAGACAGGGACCAGGTCTTACTGCTAAATCCCCAGCACCAGCTCAAGGCCTGGCCCCCTGGTGACAGAAAGAAAGAAGGAAGGGAGAGATGGAGGAATCAGGGCTGGACTCAAGTGAGGGTGGTGTTAACGACCTCTAGGGTCTCTGCTAGTCAGAGGCTCCACAGTTCTGTAAGGACCCTGCATTCAGGAAAGTTGCACCTTTTGGAGGCCTGCGGAAGGCCTGGTGCTGAGGGGTCACTGCCTTCTCTCTTGCAGCCTGCCTGCAGCATCAGAGCTGTGATACCTGCATGTCCTCGGACCTGACCTTCAACTGCAGCTGGTGTCATGTCCTCCAGAGGTTTGTGTCCAGCCTGACCCTCTGGTTCCTGCAAGCAGACTGTGGTAGAGGGTAGCACAGCTCCACTCCTTTCCTTAGTCCTCATTGCCAACGTGAGGGCATATCTGGCCGGTCCACTCTGACCCAGAAGTGAGTTTCTCCTGAAGCTTTTGACTGATCAAGGTGACTGTATGGCAGCGTTCTTGTGCTCACACTAAGCTCTTGAAAGACCATTCAGAGATTCCAGCTACTGTAGCTCCCTCCTCCTGCCTGGGAAGGGTTGGTTCATCCTAGGGCAGGGCTTCTCAGAGTGGTCCACAGTTGCAAGCATTCCAAAATCAGCTAGGATCCTGTAAACATGCAGATTCCTGGGACACACCCCTGGCCCCTGTATCA